GTTGCTCCAGCGGTGAATAGATAAGAATACAGTTTCTGCCTTCAAAGAATGTTGAGAAGTTCTTATAAGGTAGTGACTGTATCCCAATCATTCCATACAGACCTGGTCACATGTTTTGTAAATATTCCAGTTTCAGTATCACCTCTCTGACTTCTATAGTTCTAGTTTATTCTTCTCTCAATTTATCCATTCACCACTCCCTTCACATTAGATTTCTTAAACAGTTTTGATCATGTTATGCCCCTTAGTTGCAAAGAAAATATCAGTTAAGCTCCCACTGGCTAGAGAGAAAAATTGCAAAATGCTTCTTTTGCCTGCAAACAAACCCTGCTTTTCATCCAGGCTTTCTCATCATATGTTCTAGAGGCAATAGGATATTTTGTTTCCTCCTTACTCAACTCCTTCATTAGTGCTGTATCTCATTTTTGAAGGCCTCTTCTTATGTTACTTTAGGTGTCCATGTGACCCAACTCCTCCTTAATCACCTGTCTGGGTCCCGTCCTCTTTAAAAATTTCCAAATACATCTCTCATTCCCTATCTGGGAGTATTTGCTCCTGTATCTGTATCCCATTACATTTTATTTATTTATTAATATTCTTTTGGGAGAGAAAGAGCACTCGGGGAAGAGGAAGAGGGAGAGGGACAGAGAGGATTTTAAGCAGGCTCCACATCCAGCCCCGATCCTGATGCAGGGCTTGATCTCATGATTGTGAGATCATGACCTGAGCCGAAATCAAGAGTCTGGCACTTAACCAACTGAGCTATCCAGGCTCCCCCTATTCTATTACACTTTTAAAGATAAAGCCACATGGCTGTTCCATAAATATTTATTTTCCTGCCATTTTTCACCTACTGAGCCCCTTGCAGTTATAGTCACAATGGCATATAACTATTTATAAAATTAATATACTGGATTAATTCAATAGATTTGTGTTTTATTAACTGTAACTATGTTTTCAAACATAAGTCTGGATCATTATCAACTATCTTCCAACTTAAGTTTTACTTATATTACTTATATTGGTAAAGCTTATATATAGTGAAATAGAATAAACCGCTATATCTAAGAAACTATTGTGCAAAAAGTGAGCACTAGTAATTGCTGAAAGAAAGTTTGCTTCTGAAATGTTTCAACCATTCCTCTTCAATTAAAAAAAACTGTGCATGGGGGAAAAGTACATGAAACTATCAACAAAACAATTAATAAGTTAAAGGGCAAAGCAGGCTGACTGGAAAGAATAGACATCAAAGAATTTCTACACTCATTGTTCAGGACACCTTACAGTATTTGCATTTGTCGGCTTATCTGTTTTGCTTTACTCCGTATTCTGCCATGACACAGCAGAAATCTTATGGTGTTCTCTGAATATCATTGCTTTTAGAATTAATGGGATCTTCATCATTGAAACTCCACAATTAAAATACAACATAAAACTGATTCAGCTGTTCTTATAACATGGATCAGAAATGTATGCTCACTATTTCCCAGCTCCACTTGCTCTGCTGACTTTTTAGATTTCCTTAAAGTGTTTCCTGAGTTTTACTTCAGTTGAAGTCCAATCCTACAGACCATACAGCAGCTTCATTTGAGCATCCATTGGAATGGCAACAGAGAAGCTTCAGTTTTATGGGAATAAAATCTCCCTACTCTGAATCCTCTTCCACAGTTCTAGGAATGTATAATATACAGATGGTTCCTTTAAATAGGGAATCTGATAAAAATGTGATAATCCGTATTTATTCAATTGTCAATTACCTATGCTGATAGAGGGGGAGTCAATAAGTTGAATGGTTTTGACACTCAACTTATAAATCATATAATGTTCTAATTTCACATAAGTCATAGTGTATATTTGGATAGACTGACTGGTTGACTTTCACTGTTGGATAATTTATAAGTATTTCTTAAACTGATACAAAATGAATATTATTTTGACTTCAAAACAATTGTTTTCTTTGATGTTATTCACATTAAATACAGTAACGTTATTTTCATTGGTCTGTAGTTGAATAGACAGCATTCTTCACTGTCAGTGATTTAAGTTGTTGGTTTAGATTAATAGTCAATGATTTTTTAAAAAATTTAAAGGAAAAATAGTAAGTTCTGTAGAATATCTACTATCACTTAAGCACATGGGGAATGGTGACATTGAGTGAATCTGTGCAACACAGAGCTTGTAGCAGACCACTATCATAGCTCTCTTTCTTTTCAGATCTTCCTATTAGATTTTCTGTATTTTGTTTCTACCCATGCCATTGTAATCTTGACGAATGTCAATGAAATGATAAGTTGTCTTCCATCAGTCAAAGATGCGAATTTTTTGAGGGAGGTGTTAACAGAATGCCAACCCATCTTTTTATATATAATATATAATATATATTCTTTGTAGATTGAGTCACCCATTTGCCATAGTAATGGTAACCATGACTACACTATGTGATTTTGACTGTCTAATATCTGCTCATCTCATCTCATTCTCTTCCTATTTATCTCAAGAAGAAGCAAAAAGCCATTTTGATATAACAGTGAAAATAACAAAATACTATAGTCAGAGGGATTATAAAAATAAAGGGCCTCTTCAATTTTCTGTATCCCACGGATTATTTGAAGACTAATAAAAACTCATGGCTTTCAAAAATGATATAAAATATTACCATAAGAAAAAAGAGGCAATAAGACAGTATCTAAACCAAATGATGAATGAGTTGACACATTCAAGTTGCACATCAAAAATAAAAGCAACTGATCAGAAACAAAGCAAAATAAAACTAATATCACTTTCAACAGATGAGAGCCCTTCTAGAGTTTACCAACATATGGCAAAGGAATATGACAGATTTTTAAAGCATAAAAACAGCAAAAAATAATAATAAAGAAAATTTCAAATAAACTAGTATGCAGTAGATCCTATTTCACAGAAACAGCTCTTCAAAGAATGATACAATTTTAAAGTAGAGCTCCTTGCAGGTCTCAGAGTCCACTTTAAACACAGAAAATGAAGTCAAAATAGTGTCAGGTTTAGTAATAACCATTCATACAATTGGTGGAACTACTGTACATCCTGAACCAGCTCATGTCTACTATTACAACCTGTAAATATCAAAACCACCAAACAATGTAGTGTCTTGAAACATTATTCCCTAGTCCACTAGATTCAAATCCTGTATCTTTTACTGGTTTTGTAACTGTAGGTATATGATTTTACTTATTTTTGCCTCAGTTTCGAGACAGATCTCTTTGTATGTTCTCCATATCTCTGATTATAAAAATAAAGCATGAATCTATTCAAGATCACATAAGTATATCACATTTGACTCATAATCCTTTCTTTGAACACTTCAGAAAGAGAAAGTTGGTGCAAAAAGAGAAAAATGAAAGAAAGAAACATATACTTGGGCTAAATTTGCTAGATTTAGCAAATAAACTTATAAGATTCAAAGTTACAGTTAAATTTCATATAAACAGCAAATCACTTTTAAGTGTAAGTATGTACCAAATATTACATGGGACAACCCTGCCTTATAAACCTACTCAGACCAGAAATAGAATGGGAATTAAAAGCAGGTAAATGGGATAAAGACTGTTGTCTGGAAATAGGTGGTATCAAGGATTTTGGTACCAACTGGACAAAAGCAAATAAAAGTTTCATGTAAAAGCAAGGTCAAATGCATTCAGCATGAAGAGAACACAACAGTTCAAAAATAATAGGCCAAAACAATTCCTGTCAAAATTAGCCTCCAATTGCAAAGCAAGTGAAGAAATATAATGCAGAGATTAAAAAGACCACAGTTTAAACACTTGGCATATGAATTTTATCAGAATACAATTAATTTAGTATAACAGTCCAAATATTAGAAACTATTTTGGAACAATTATTATTAAGTTATACACACACACACACAGATGCACACACAATAATACATAGATTCTATTAAAGAGGAGTAGGATAATTAAGACCAATAACAAACAAAAAATTGGTGTTGAAAAGAATCCATTATTGGGGCTCCTGGGTGGCTCTGTCAGTTGGGTGCCTGACTAGGCTCAGGTCATGATCTTGCAGTTTGTGGGTTTGAGCCCCACGTCGAGCTCTGGGCTGACATCTCAGAGCCTGGAACTTGCTTTGGATTCTGTGTCTCCATCTCTCTCTCTGCCCCTCCCCTGCTCATGCTCTGTCTGTCTCTCTCTGTCTCTCAAATAAATAAGCATTAAAATAAAATCCATTATTAAAAGCTATTGAATTATATTCTTTAAATGAGTTATACAGCATATGAATTAATACCTCTATAAAGAAGTTAATAAGAGAATTAAGACTCTTTCTGAAGTATATTTATATATACACATAAATATATAAATACACCTAAATATTTGTACATATACACTACATATAGTGAGAGAGAGAGAAACACATTAGAAAACTAAAAGAATTATCTCAGTATGCAAGACAGATAGATAAGGAAATAAAAAAATATTGAAGACCACTTACAAGCCACTTAGAAGGGCATTTAGAGTGATGGGTATTAAGGAGAGCAGTTGTGATGAGCACTGGGTGTTATATATGTAAGTGATGAATCACTAAATTCTACTCCTGAAAAAAGTAACATAAAAAATAAAAATATAGACAAAAATAATAAAAATAAGAATTAAAAAAGAAGGGCATTTTGATTGTTAGCTGATATCTCAAAAGCTTAACAAGAAAAGAAGGAAATGAAATAGTATCTTCAACAATTCTGAAAGAAGTAACTGTGAACCTTGGATTCAATACACAGACCTATCTATCTAAAGAAAGATGACCAGAGAACACTCAGATTTCACCAAAACCTTGTTTATTCTCCCCAAGCACATAGTAAGACTATTACCCCTTTGTTTCCTCGAAATTATGTGGACCTGTGCCTGAGTTCTGGTCAATGAAAGGTGGTTGGGCTTATACACACCACTTCTTGGTATAATATATAGTTAAACAATCCTTCACTCTTTTTGTTTTTACCCATATCATTTCAGGAACTTCAAATCCAAGCAAATGTTAGAGACACAAGATAAGAAGAAATACCCAAATCACTAAATGGAAGGCTGCTTGCTGAATAGTCAATTCTATTTAATATGAATGAGAAATAAACTTCTATGATATTAAGGTATTGAAATTAGGTTTTGTTTGTTATAGCAGCAGACATAACAAAAACATCCTAGGATAAACAAAAGCTGTGTTTACATCCAAAAGGCCCATACTGGGGAAATCTAAAGAACAAACGTCGTTGAAATATAAAAAGAAGAGTGAGCAAAGAGCAAGCACATCTATAAATATGTGGATGAATCTCTATAAATATTGATTGTATGTAACAATAATACCTAATATAAAAGTATAAAGGCTTTATTTAAATAGTGGATAAAATCTATATGTGGGAGCATAGAAATCATATTAAAATCACTTGAATATCTTTGTAGTACTGGAAAGGAGGGTTACAATATTGTGATTATGTATTGTTAAATATACATGTTAAAATATCCGTACCACTAAGAAAAATAAGAAACATTTTGTCTGAAATTTCTAAACATAAAAAAGAAAAATGGGGAAAAAAGAGAGAGTGACAAAGAAGAAAAAAGAACAACATTGATTAAAAAAGAAATAAAAATTACACAATAAAATCGTAAAATACATGTGCATGCAAATGTAAATATAACAAATTTAAACCTAAAGAGTATAAAAATGAATTTTGAAAAATCCATCTCTATATTATTTATGGAATGCACATAAAACAAAGGTTACACTAAAAATTAAAGCCAAAGTAGAAGGATATACATATGTCAGTAAAATGCTAAACAATATTCTATGAGAAATAGATAGTATGAGAAAAAGGCAAACTAAAGATGGAATAGGTCACTTACTAATGAAAACAAAGTTTCAGTTGACACTTCAGTTCACCACAATGACCAAAATGAAGCAATTATTTAGTAATTTTTATGGAATGTGGCCCCTTAAAATTAGAGGAACATACATAATTTCTAATACACATCAATGTTATAAAAATGAGTGCATGCATTACCACAAATCTCATTTTATCAAAGTTCAAAAAAATTATATTTTGAAAATGATACCATTATACATGCAATTAGTTTAAAATAATATATTTAAATTTTAAAACATAGTTCTAACACCTTATGCCTCAAATAAGAAATCATATTTGAAATCAGAAACACACAGAAGTTAAAAACTTGCGGGATACCAATAAAGCACAAGTAGAAGAAAATAAGAAATTGCATAGAAAATAAGAAAGAATAAAATTAATTAGCTAATCATGCAATTTAATGAGTTATGAAAGAATAATAAATCAAAATATAAGAAAATAAGAATAGATAAAATATTGCTTTTAAAAATTTTTTAAATGTTTACTTATTTTTGAGAGACAGATGGAGACAGAGTGCAAGCAGGGGAGGGGCAGAGAGAGAGGGAAGCACAGAATCCAAAGTAGGCTCTAGGATCCAAGCTGTCAGCATAGAGCCCGATGCAGGGCTCAAACTCATGGGCTGCAAAATCATGACCCGAGCTGAAGTTGGATGCTTAACAGACTGAGCCACCCAGGGACCCCAACAATTGCCTTTTTAAAAGTTTATTTATTTATTTACTTTAGGAGAGACAGAGAGAGCGTGAGCAGGGGAGGAGTAGAGAGAGGGCAAAAAAGAATCCCACACCAACTCCACGCCCAGTGCAGGGGTCTCCATATCACAACTGTGAGATCATGACCTAAGCTGAAATCAAGAGTCAGACATTTAACCAGCTGAGCCACCCAGGTGCCCCAGAAAACAATTTTCAATTACATATTATATAATTCAATTACACAAATCAGAGACAATCGACAGTGAGATACGGACTATAAGGAAATCGGTAAAAATGATACCTTTTTGCAAAACTAAGCAAGAAAATTAAGAGAAGACATAAATAAATGGTATCAGGAATGATTTTTTTATAACCACAGACACTGTACAGATAAAACAAGTAGGTATTAAGAGTGGATGCTATTATCTACCATAAGCAAATGGGTTTAAAGTATAAAAAAATAAAGTAATTGATAGGAAAGAAAACATCTTACTTCAATAAAACCACTGAGATCTAATGAGTTTATAAGAGAGTCTCACCAAATATTCAAGGCTAATGCAATTTCAAAATTATATGCCCTTCTAGAAAGTATAAAAAGAGGAGCTATTCCCCAACATTCCCATTTATTTTGTTGCAACAACTTTATTCCCAAACTAAAGAAGCACAGAATGGGAGAGGAAAATTATAAGGAACTCTTATTTGTGACTATAGATAAAGAAATTAAAAAAAAATATTACAAAAGTTAGTATAACAGTATTTATTTTAGCAATGAAAATTTGATTACATATTATTGATTGTTGTAATTCAGTACTAACAAATTAAAGGAGAAAAACCATAGAAAACTAGATGCAGAGAATACTGAATAAAACTCAAAACTAACCATTTTAAAAGTCCGGGGGCAGTTGGGTGGCTTAGGTTGAATGGTCAACTCTTGATTTTTGGCTTAGGTCATAATCTCATGGTTGGTGAGATCAAGCCCGTGTTAGGCCCTGAACTGAAGGCACGGAGCCTTCTTGGGATTTTCTATCTCCCTCTCTCTGCCCCTCCACTACTTGCTCATGTATGCCCTCTTTTTCTCTCTCTCAAAATAAATAACCTTAAAAAAAAAACTTTAAAAGTCCATTTAGCAAAATATATATAGAAGTAAAAAAGTTTTATAAATGGATATATTTTTACCAAAACATCGGATACTATAGATACAAGTGATGGAATAGCAAAATCATTTCCTTTAAATAAGACACAGATGCCTGCAACCTCCTTCTATTCAACCTCCTACTAGAGCTCCTATTAGTTCAGAAAAATAAGACCAAAATTTAAAATTATTACAAAGAAAGAAAAATTGTTACTTGCAATTAATACATTTTTTTCTATGTAGTACATTTAACAGAAATTTAAAAGAATATTTAACAAAGTTTCTGGGTATGTAATCAATAAAAAAGTCTCTTGTTTTATCACAAAACAAAAATTAGTTTGAAAACTTATTTAAATAATAAGAAAATTTACCTTTTCAGTAGTACCCCAACTGTGAATTATCCAGAAATGCATTAACAAAAGATGTTTAAGCTCTTTAGCAAGAAAATTATAATAAAAAGATGTTAGGGAAAACCTAAATTAATAAATAAAAAACACACTGTTGAACAAAAAGCCTCAATAGTGTAAAGCTATCATTTCTCCCCAAGTTATTCAACAGGTTCTGCATACTTCAAAGAAAAATCCTAACTTTTTAAAAAAATTTTTTAACGTTTATTCATTTTTGAGAGACAGAGAAAGACAGAGCATGAGTCGGTGAGGGGCAGAGAGACAGGAAGACACAGAATCCGAAGCAGGCTCCAGGCTCTGAGATGTCAGCACAGAGCCCCTTAGTGGGGCTCAAATTCATAGACTGCCTGATCATGACCTGAGCCAAAGTCAAACGCTTAACTGACTGAGCTGCCAAGGTACCCCCTAACATGATTTTAATGGTACCTAAGTTGATTCTGAAATTTTTATAAAAATAGACTAACAATAAAAACATTCTCGGGGCGCCTGGGTGGCTCAGTCGGTTAAGCATCCTACTTCAGCTCAGGTCTAGATCTCACAGTTCATGGGCTCGAGCCTGTTCCGGATTCTGTGTCTCCCTCTCTCTCTGCCCTTCACCCACTTATACTCTGTCTCTCTCTGTCTCAAAAATAAACTATAAAAAAATTTAAAAAAATAAAATCATTCTCAAGTAGGACAAGACCTACTGAAACCCAAGGTAAATAAATTAGTATATTGTTAGTGCAGAGTACAAAGAATCAGTAGGTGAAATATCATAGGGATTTAATAGTCAAAGCCATTAATTTATGAACAAAATTGACTTTGATAGAGTAGACGTTACAGTACAGGGGGGAAATGATGTACCATTCACTTAGTGGCAATGGGAATATGTGTATTTATGTGTATTCATTTATAAATGAATAAATGAATATCTTTTCCTCACAACAGACACAAAAATGTTTTCTATGTAATTAAATATTTAAATGTGAATGCCAAAAGTATACACATTTAGAAGACTATGTGTGTATACATATACACATACACATACATATACATTTATAATCTCATGATTCCATAAATCTCATAAGGAAGGAGTTCTTAAACAGGAAAAAAAAAAGAGAACAAAGGAAATAGTTGACACCTTCCATTAATTTAGGTGTCCAAGAGTGTCTTAGATTTCTAATTTTCTTAAGAAAGAATTTGAACAACCTTTACATTTATTTCAGAATATTTATTGCTATCGAAAAATGTAGGTTATATATTCTTTTCTGCAAGTGTATTTTCTACTATTTGCTGTATTGTAATGGAAACTAGAAAAAGGAGAGCTAATTAAATACAAAATAAGAAAGAGAAAAGAAATTATACAAAACAGAACAGAAATTGAGTAACCAGAAAAAAAGCATAACAATGGAGATGATTTTTAAAAATATGAAGCTACTTCTTTGACAGGAACAATTGAACGGATGGCCAAAGTGATTAGAATAAAAAAAGAGAAAATACAAATTATCAATATCAGGAATGACAAGTTCAATATGGTCAAGATGTCTATTCTCTCCAGTTGATATACACCTTCAACTCAACCTGAATCAAACCTGGCAGATTTACGATTCTACACCTATAGGCAGGAAATAACATTATTTTAAAATATAGAAGCAAAAATCAACAGAACTCTGAAGGAATGCATAATTGGAGTGTGAGTCTTTAAAATCATTCCTGAATAGCTGACAGATCAAATAGAAAAGTAACCACTATGAATATCAAAGATAAAAAAAATACTATTGATCAAATTGGCCATTATAAAAAATCAAATATTTGAAGCACAAAGACCTTGAAAATAAAATTTCAAGGATTTACAATAGCATTAAAAAGATCAAGTACCTTGGAATAAGTCTATCAGGCTAAAATTACAAATTTTATGGAAGATATTTAAAAGGACTCAAA